AATAATGCTAAGTAGGCGTACACCTTTTCTCCTCGAGAAATTTTTGGGCTATTACAAATTATGGCACTCTTACAATACGTAACTGATTCCATCTCCTCCTTTACTTTTCCATTGTCATCGTTTCCAACTACTGTTCTATTTAATTATTTTTAGTAGAAAAAGGGTTTTTTTTTAATTGGGAAAAACAAAAATATCCTAATAATTAAAATGTTAGGATTCCTATAAAATTATCTAAATATCTTTAATGAATCAATGTATGAAAAAAAGTTTATTAAGATATATTTAAATAATTTCATAAAGAGTTCTCTTATTTTAAATGCCAAAATGTTTTAATCTTCATTTTTTCCCTTTTTCAGTTAAATAATGTGCTTTAACAGTTAAATCCGAATATAACTTACTACGAAATAGGAAAATGTTATCATCCCAACAAAATTTTATTAGCAAATTTATCAACTTTATAAATTAGTGTTTATCAATTCAAACCCTAAAAAATTAAGAGGAATGCATTAAAAATACATTATTTCAATATAGTATTATAAAAAAGTCTAATACAGTCTAATTCTTATTTTATTTTTATAACAAAAAGTATTTTATGATCTAAACTATAAAACATTAGCTTTTGAATTTGGAGAAATTACCCCCAATAATAAGAGATGACTAATTTTTTTTAATCTAAACCATAAAACACTAACCACCTTTTCCAACTATTTTTCTAAATATGAATATCCAAGAATTTCAGGCTCAGCGTCTTGGCATCACTAACCATGGGAATAACTTTAGCCAACACATTGAAACTGATCTTGATGCCCCACAAGTATATCAATCAGTTTATTTTTTAACTCTAAACTTGTCTGATCTATAAATATTGTAGCAAATGAAGATTTCGTCACACTCTAGTGTTAGCAAATCTGCTTTTGACCCTCAAATAAAATGACTAAAGTTTGGCACATAATCTCAGCATTCTTTCTTGTCTTTCTTTCTATCTAGTGAGCATTGTTTCAAAACATTCTTGCTACTTACAACCTTCATCAATCTCCTTCTATCTTCCTATAAACACAAAGTCCAATTCTACCACCATGATGTAATAAGAAAACTTTTGCTCAATAAAACTCTTAAGGCAACCTTAGCTGGGTCCTACTAGATGTTTCAAAAAGAAAATGTCTCATCTAAAATCCCTTGGCCGCTCATGGCATGAGTGCTCAACCATGCCACATGCTTTGCTCAAAGCAAGAAAAAAGGATTTTTGGCAATCCTCACTTTTTTCAAGTGCGGAAACTTGTTTAAAAGTTGATGAAAGAACACCATTTGATTGAAAGATCATGCCAGTAATACCTTTCTCTGATGATTGTAGCAAAAATAGCAAAAATAGCAAAAATTGGGGCATATTCCTGGATGAAAATTTAAAAATAATTGCCTTATAACAACATCAGGGACTTCCCACATATAGAGCGAGAGTGAAGTTAGTCTATTATTTAAAATAGATAGAAATAAGAACAAAAAAAAAAAAAGAGGAATGCATAGCAAAAATAAAGGATGATCTAAAACTAACATAACAAAAGAACATAAAACTAAATAGAGCAATAAATCTTAAAACATAGCTAGAATGGAAACTAAGAGTACTAGTAGAAATCAACTAAAGAATGCAACAGAAATGTAAATGTTACGTATTGCAGCAATGTGAATCGAAGCTGGCAAAAATGAAATAAAGATTGTTGGCAAAAATGTAAAGAGCAATAAGACAAGCTAGAAATTATATCATTTGGTAAAACTTAAATATAAAGATGGTAGACATGTAAAAACTAGTTATGGGTTGAAGGGAAATAAAACTAACATCTTTACTTCAAATCTTAAAAAAAATACAACTGAAGGTAGAAACATAAATTTGCTAACAAATCATAAACTAAAGCTAGACAACTAAATCGAAATGTAAACTGCAAATAGAAATATGAAATGTGCTAGCAGAAGAAGAACAACTATATTAAGTTTGAATACTAAAGTTAATTTGACCATAAACAACAAAGAAAAAGAATCCATTGAAGGAGTTGAATCTCTTCTATGCTAACAAAAAGTTGTAAAGTCACTATAGGACAATGTTTTCAAACTCGAACCGAAGGTCAAACCGTTTTGACCTCTGGTTCGCGATTTGAACGGTTCAACCGGTTTAACCGGTAAAACCGCCGACTTAATGAAATACTATAAATATATTATTTTGCAAAAAATATCACACGGTGTAAGTGGGTTGCACTATGGCTGATCTTCTATAAGAGAGATTCGGAGTTCAAGTCCCCTCAATAACAAATTTTAATATAATTGTGCTTCAAAGTAGAATAAGTATATTGTAAAGCATTAAAATGACAAAAGAACATTGTGTACAAGTGGAAAAACCGTTGTTATACAACATGGAGACCAAGTGTTCGAATCTCAAGCTTGTAATCAGTAATAAGGTTAAAATCTTTGGGATTTATATGGGTTAAATAAAAGTCCAAGCACTCATTGACTAAAGCATTACATTGTCTCGGTGGCAAAAGATCAACCCAAAGACTCTAAGGTTGCAAGTTCAAATCCCGGCGGACACAAATTTCTCAAGATTTTATGCCCAAGCATTGAACCATCCGGTTGAACGGTTTGAGCAGTTTCAAACGGTTCATCGGTTCGAGCGGTTTCAAACGATTTAACCGTTTAAACGGTTCAAAAAATGTAACCGAACCGTTTAAATCATCGGGTACCAGTTCAATCGATCCAACCATCCGGTCCGATCCAATTTTCAAAACCTTGCTATTGGAGCTATTTATGAACTAAACTAGTGTTGAGCTAAGAAATATTGAAATGTTCATTTGTGTTAAAGGGGCAAGCCTATTGAAATTTCTGTTGAAGTCTTTTGTATCTATAGGCCTTCATAACCAAATTTGTTAGGTAGAAATCTGATTTGATCATGATTTTATCTAATTTAAGTGCTATCATGCTTGACTAAATCAAAGAAACTCTCAACAACTTTGAATCCTTCCTTACAAAACAAACTTTTGCCACTTGTCATTTTTGTTGCTAAAAATTCCTAGAATTGTGCTTGTTACAACCATTTCTAATTTTTCTACAATTAAACTAAACAATTTAACACCATGTCAGCAACTTCCTTGATTTTGTGGAACCTCACTTTGGAGTCAAACTCCATAGGCGTCAAAATTCATTGTATTAACTTCTAGTTAGAGGTGTTCATATTTGAACCAATACAATTAATCTACACCAATCCAATTAAAACCATCATTTAATTAGATTAATTTGGATAAAAAATTAAAACTGATTAAATTAGTTTAGCTTGTAGTTTTGCTTTATGACCAACCAATCCAAACTAACATTGAAATAATTAATTAAAAAAAGGATTTTTCCCAATACTTATATTCTTACCATTTATTCATCTTAATACTAAAATTGTATTATACGATACTTTCATCTATTATAAATTTATTCAATTTTGCTTTTGTTTTTGCATGATTGAAATTCACGAAAGGAAGAGCAATATAATCAAACTCCTAAAAATGTTTTTCTTTTTTCTTTGAGACAAAATCAATCAATCCAATCCTATCCAAATCCTTAAATTTTTGGATTTTCTCTATGTTTGATAGTAAGGGTGACAATTGAGCAAGTCAAGTAGGGCTTAGGTTGGATTAACTCGGGTCAAGGGTTACATAGGTCAGGTCATAAATGGGTCACAAGTCGACAATCCTTGACCCTAAACCTACTCGACCATATAAGTTACAGATTAACTCACAAGTTGACCCTTTTTTTTGTTTTATTTATTAAAATTAAACTTTATAACCTCTAAACAACTAAAATTCACTTCTAAATGATAAATCTTAAAGAGAATTACTTTTTCTAGGCAAAAGGTACTCGTTTGCCCCTTAACTTTTCGATTTTGAGGGCTTTTACCCTCCATATTACAATACATGAATTTTTGCCCTTCATATTTTTGAGTTTGAGGAAATGAGGCAAAATTTAACGCCGAAGCGTCACGTGTAGCACGTGCACCGTTGAACTCCGTCAAGTGTGCACATGTCAGCGCCACCTCAGACTTTTTTGACAACTTGGCATGCCAACTTGGAATCACATGAGCGGGATATCTACCTACTACCAATTTTATTTGTGGGCCCCACTACTAACTAAAGGTTTTAAAAAAAGGTTAAATCCTCGATTCAGTCCCTTAACTTTCATTTTTAAATTAAATTTACCCTCAAACTTCAAAATATTGTGACTTGGCACCAAAAATATAGTTTAATAAATAAAAATTTCTTTTTTTCCTTTTTTCTTTCCTTTCCTTTTTTTTTCTCCTTCTCTTTCCTTCTCCTTGCCTTCCCTGCTAGGTTCGAAGGAACCCAGCACCAAGCATGTTGGGTTCCATCGAACCCAGCAAGCCTGGGTTCGATGGAACCCAGCACGCCTGGGTTCGATGGAACCCAGCAAGCCTAGGTTCGAAGGAACCCAGGCGC